GTACATTTTATGCGGCTCGCGGTGGCTAAGTTCAGAGAGCAAAGACTTGAAGCCAATAAGCCTCACTAATCAAGTTGATATTTGAATTGATTTATGTATTTCATGTTGAATCAGTGGTTGCAAACACTAATTTGTGCCTATTTGACTTGGGTTCTTCTTGAGAAAGAGAGCTTGAGTCTAGGAAGATCAGTTCAACAAGGAATTGGGGTGTAATCAAGAGATTGATAGCCCCAATTAAAGGGTTAAACCTAGAGATAGTAATACCCGACTTGAGCCTATATTGCTTGCACAATCTTGACACCCAATTGGTCTTGAGAAAGTCAATTAGGGTAAAGTCACTCAAGCTACCGAGAGGTGTAGAGTGAGCAATTCCTGCATTGGCTGTATCACAATCCCCAGCATAACGACTTTGCCTTAGGCTTTAGATCCTGTCAAGTATTCACCTAGGAGAAAGTCACTTCCCTAGTGCTTCTTTAACTAATTAGAAAACCCTACAAGAAATCATTCTTAGTTTAATTTAGCTTATCATTAGCCTAAATATTAGAAGTAATATTCAACCAAAAGATGATTGGACGAGTAATTAAGAACACTATGCATCTCTAGTTTAGATAGGAATCCAATTCTCATTTCTAGCTCCATGTGGATTCGATCCCGACCATCTCGGATAAAAGCTGCTTTGACCGTTCTTGCCACTTCGTAGTGGTATAGGGTTGGCTTTGATCACTCGACACTTACCAGTATATGGAGTCGGTTGTACTGATACTACACTCTGCATTTATTGTGCAAATTTTGGTACCGGCCCTAGATTATCGTGAGGTTAGTTGCCGGACTTGCTCGTCAGGAGACCCAAGGTAGATCTTTTTGACTCTGTTTGTAGTCAATCATAGTAGACTGTGAGTTGTGACTCCAGATCCTAAATGTATCAGAGGTTATGGGTTTATGTTATTCCGCAATCAGTTTTAACTTCTGTTTAGCTTAATTGTTCTTATTATTGAAATTGACTAAAATTGGCATTAAGAATCCCCTAACGTTGGCTTGCCTAGCAAATGAAATGTTAGGTGACATCATGGTACCGACGATGGGAATTCCGAGTCGTGACATTCCCCCTACTTTTATAAGAGCTACAACTATTTTTAAAGAAGTACATAAACATAGTATGTACCTCTTATTTAATTAATATTTGCTAATTGTAGATTATTTTTTATTTCATCACTAATTATGAAAACTTTCCCAATTACTACTACTGGTGGCAAAATGGATTAGAAAAAATAGTTATCCATCCATATTATTCACTTAAAAAATGGGTTGGATAATGAACTTTTTAAAAACGGATCAAATATGGATAAGAACCATATTATCCACTTAAAAATGGATAACTAACGAGTTTAACTTTTACATTTGTAAATATTCAAATTAGGGGTTACTCAAGTTTGGGAGACTAAGAATTCTCCCAAAATGATCATATTCAAAAAACCATTGATAATATTGTTACTCATATTATCCCCTGGTTAACCCATTTTCTATTAGTATTAAATATGGGTCAAGTTGGATAATTTATCTATTTTTACATTACCCATTTTCGACCTACCCTGATTCAATCCGACCTGCCCGTCTACCATCCCTAATTAATAGTAAAAATAACACGGATTAGCCAGTTTTTGAACGGGTAATCGAAAAAAAGTCAAGTTCGCAAATTCTTTAAAAATAACCACTATTTTACCTGAAATATGGAAAGTTCCAGCATAATATGCGGGATTATGGAGCTCATGCATATAAACTTTCAGCATATTATATTGGAACTCCAGCACATAGAAAGTTCCAGTATAATATGCCAGATTTTGAAGCTCCTGCATATAAACTTTCCACATATTATGTTAGAACTCCAACACATTATGAAATTCCAGCACATTATGTTGGGGAAGCTCATATGCAAAAAATTCGAACTTTCCGGATTTTAAAGGGTATTTTTGTTCAGATTTTATTTTTACATAAAAAAAAATAGCTACATTTTGATTACTTTTGAAGCTATGGATATTTTTCAATTACGAGTTGTAAATCTGGCTATTTTTTATTTTTTTCCTTAATTACTATTATCAATATGCTTCTTGAGCCTAGGGCAATGGAGATATGAACCTTGTTCAATCACATGGGCTAAGATTTTGGGCTGGGCTATGAGTCATGACAAATCTTCATCATTCATTTCCCTACGCTATATCCAACTATGTTAATTTGCTGCAGTGTTTAATTTTCATATGCTTCTTTGCTTCATCTTATATATCACAGATCCTAGTTTTTTGTTTCTCTTTTTCCCACCAAAGTTTCAAGATTTGGAACTCATGAGGTTTTTCGAAGTCAATTTAAATCCGTTTATATCAACGAGGAAAAAAACAGTGTTTTTTATGCCCAAATGTCGTAGTCCCACAAATGAACCGCTGCAATTTTTGTAGAGAGAGTCAAATGAAAGACCTTTTATTAGGATTTGTTATGGAAAAACATGGATTTCATAAAGCCACAAATCACGCCTTGCTATTGAAATAGGAGTCGATTCAACAGAAAAACTTTCTAATAAATGATTCCTTACAATTTTTATTGAAATATACCTCTAATTAAGACTGTTAGGAACAATATGAATCTTATCAAACTATAAATGCAATGTGATTTAAATAGGATTTGGTTCGACAAAGTTTTTAAAATAATATTGCGATGATATTCACAATCCATATATGTCATTGAAAATGAGGGAAACTTGAAAGAATCATAATTTATCTAACTTTATTCTTGGGAAGATATGCTAAAATTGAGTACAAGGAAGCATGAAAATTATCAATCCAGTTGTAATTGCGAACAGGAAAAAAAAGTATATTTGAATAGAGAAGCACTATACATAGAATGAATTGGTATCCACAGTGTCGTTACTGATTTCGTGTTTAACATTTGTGAGAGGTCAATATATTAGAAACGCATCCAAAAAGCCACATTATATCTTACAGAAATACTAGTCCACCTTTTATGGTGATGTAATAGATTGTTATTAAAAATCGATATATAGAGACAATATCTGACATCGAATTAGTTGTAATGTAAAACCTAACAATCTACTTTTGTGGTCTTATAATGTAGTGAGTTGTCAATGGTTTAACATAGGAATAGAAAAATAATAGAGTACAAAATTACTTCTACTGATGGGTTCCCCCCTTCCCTTGATTCATGAAGGTCAAATTCATGCTTTTTTATTCACGTTTATAATTAACATTTTCACGTCACACCGTATAAATTATATTAATTCGATGAATAGCTGCTGTTAGTAGAAGCTTTTCAAAGGGAAAGGGTGAGGGTCCAGTAAATGTATTATTGGATCACAGAAGGGACACTCAAACCATAGCTTGCCTGCTTGGTTTATCTAATTCTAAGGTCCTAAGGCACTCAATTTCAGTGACAAAATTAACGACTCTCTTGAATATTCAAACATATTTGTGCATTTAATATTGTGCTTCCACTAATATATATATATCCTTATATTATGGTAGCTAATAATAGTTTAGGTGTCACAGTGCAAGTCAATGATATGCATTGTCAGTTTTGACCTAACAAATCTCATGAATTTGTTCCTTAACCTATGCCATATTGGACCATAAAAGCGCGCGCATCAGGTAAATCAGTAATATTATATACGTTGTCAATATTTAAGGAAGTGAAAACACAAACAAATCACTGCAACAAGATTGGGACATAGAGAGCAATTGATTGCACATTGCGTTTAATCCTTCCAACAAATTTCCTCCTATACCATGCAAATTCTCGACAGTTAAACATCATCAAGAAAATTAAATGAATTTAATTGTTTTTTTAAAGGAAAGAATTCGTTGTAAATAATAGAATGAATCTATGATAATATTGCATAGTCCCAAATGAAATAGCCGCCAAGAGAGAGATGATTATTATTGTACACTAGTAAATTAAATACTGGTTGAGACTGAGCATCCTCAGCTTTGATGTATGAAGGGGGCAATGCATGTTATAGTTAAAATAACATTGTCTTCTGCTTCATCATATATCATCTATTGTCATATTTAGGTAGCTTTATTATATCTAGTGGTTCTCTCATTTCTCCATTTTAATATTAATAATGTTCAGGTACACCGACTGAATTTCACAATTTGCTTTGGTTAGAAAAAGAAAAAATACATTATGTGCAGTCCAAAAATATTTATATAATAAAAAACTTAAAGCCTGCAAGGCCTTTTCTTGTTGTTAGATTCGATGGAATTGATTCCAAAATTAAAGTTGAGAAATCTTTACAAAAAGCGAGCAGAATATATCTGTTATACTTTTCTGTATATTCTTAGCCCATAAAAGTCCTTTTGCAAGTTAAACTAGGGAAACAAGTTGGGAAAGGACTTTTTCAATATATTCCTAAGAGGTTGTTAGGGAAAAAATTTAGTTTAAGAATTCATTGGTCCGAATATCCGACTAATCTAGATTCGTAAAGTAAGAATTATAATAGAAAGATTATCTATTTCAGGAGCTCGAATCTGAAACGGCGAATAATTTTTAATATTTTCTATTAGGCATAGCAGCTAAACCCGTAGGCCATCTAGACAATCAGTCAAACAAGAACTCATCACATGTGATTCAGAAAGGTACATGGCATTGGAGTTATTTTACTCTTCAGTTAATACTTGATAGACGCAGGAATAGGTAAATGACCAAATATTACTACAAATCCTAAAATCAAGCATGTTACTCTACATTGAGAACAGTTATGCACAGAACAAGGAGGGGTACGACTTGTGAATGCAAACGATTCTATTAAAAAAAAAATCATCGGTCAGGATGGCAAAATGAACCAGAGATTAAAAATTCATGTATTTCGAGATCTAAGAAGTCATGAGTTAACCCGACAAGTGAAATAGAAATTGAAAGAGTAAATATAATTTGCCCCGGAAAAACTGTTTTTTATTGCAAAATTTAAGACAATACAGTAAAGGACAAAATAAAGATTGCGTATAATAATACATTTTTTTTTTTGTATATTTCTATTTATAAAACTTTAAATATAGTTATCTCTTCAAACAAGATATAAAAAGTATAGATTGAATGGAATCTCAAAAAGTCCCATGTTCAAGATATTACTCGGTAACATTCTCCGAGTTCCCTCATACTAATGGCATAAAGATGCCTTGTTGACGTGAAGTTGACTTGAATACCACTTTTATAAAATGTGGCATGAAATTCTTGAGCGTATCAACCTCCAAAAACGATCCAACTACTTCAATCTCTTCCTCACAAAATTTTTATTTTTCTCCATATTATTATCTTATTATTATTTTTTTAAGTTCTGTTTGGGGATGCACTTTCAAGTATCACACCATAACTCTCATTGCATCAAATCAAAGGATTTGAAAGGGGTAAAAGGCTTTCACTCATTTATCCATCCCTTTATGTCCACTGCATAGGTTCTATTCATCTTTCTCCTCTTAGTATCTGGGCTATTAGGTGTACATGACTCAACTCCTGAATCATCAGTTTTGTAACTTAGGCATGTAGCATCCAACACACCAATTGGACTTTGAGGAACAAAACCTTTATCAAAATCACTTAGCAAAGATGATTCTTGAATCAATTCAATACACTTGTTTACTCTATCCTGCAAAATAGTCACAAAAGGAAAGGAAAAAACTTTACCATTTTGGTCAAATGTGAAGTAAATCAACATGAAATGATTGGATAGAAAAAGTAATAAATGATCTATATTTCATTTGCCTTAGCTTTTTGGACCAACAATTTTACCTTTTGTACTTGCTGCACAAGAGCAGATATTGCTTTCTCAAGGCAAACTGTCTCAGTTTTCACCACAACAGAGATTGCTACTGCTGCTGCAATCTCAGAGTGCTTGAATTCCAAGAAGTGAATTCCTACATTCAGTTTTCACCCACCTAAAAGTTTCAGTAACAATCTTCCATTTTCACAATTTCAATCATAGATAGAATGATCTCAATCAAGATCAACTTCACCTTTCAGTGTTCTTAATATAACTTTTACTGCTTTAGTGATTAAAGATCTTGAAGCAATTTGATCACCATTTATCTTCCTAATGAAATAATCAATGAATGTGAATGGAGTGATTGCATGCATTCTCCATTTCAATGTGCTTAATATAAGAAGCTCCATTCTTTGTATGGTTCTTGCTTCAAATACAAATCTTGCTTCCTTTATCTGTCAATAATCATTACAAATTCAAAACAATTATTAGATCAGTACCAAATTAATAAGATTAAAATAATCAAGGTATTCAAACTTAAGTTGTTGTCTTTGCGTAACAGGTAAAGTTGTTGTCATGCATGTGACCAGGAGGTCACTGGTTCGAGCCGTAGAAACAGCATCTTGCAAAAATGCAGGGTAAGGCTGCATACAATAGACTCTTGTGGTCCGGATCTTCCCCAGACCCAGAGGATCTTAGTGCACCGGTCTGCCCTTTTTATTCAAACTTAATTTGATGTAAATGTTCACCTGCAGATCTAGAGATAGAGGAACTATAGTCTCTTCCATTTTAGCTGCCAGAGACAAACAGGCTATAGCCAATAACTGAATCATCCATACTTTTCCCTTCTATAAAACAAGAAAATATTATTAGAAATGTGATTAAATAAAACTAAATATAAAATCTTGATGATCAAAAACTTACAGGTAAGTCATAGGCAGAAAGAAACCTATCAAGGTAGTTCACAGACAAATATAAACAGAGTGGCCCAAAATTGAAATGTGAATGAACCTGCATGCAATAACAACATATAATCAAATATTTTACAATGTGAAACTCTAGTTTTACCAGTCAAGCAAAACAAGACAAGAATAAATGTGAAAATTCAGTCAAAGACAGCTTAGAATTGAATGAAGTAGGAAAAAGCTGAAGTATATATATATATATATAGAAACATATTTAACGTACCAAATTTACCTGACAATTCAACAAAAAAATCAAAAAGATCCTACCAAACGTTCATTTCACGGTTCTTGTAAATAATAAATATACTGTGAATGCTTTTGCAGTATAAAGTAAAAGCCAAGAATTATATCATCATATCCCTTTTCCCATCCCTTCAACCCCATCTCCCCTACAAATTACAATACCAAAATACAAATTCTAATACTCACATGATATCAACCTCCTCGATTATTCTTTTATATATATATATATATATATATATAAGGACTTCCTCGATTATTCTACTGGATACATGCTATTAGGATCAGATCTACCATGTTAGCTACGCGTTAACGTGAATCCAGTAGCTTTTACCTATATATGTATCAAGAAATTCATTAAATATCTACTATAAGCGTTTGACTGTAGATCCAATTATTATTTTGTATATAAACTTGAGATCGTAAAAAACTCATAAACTTTAGATCCTGAATCTGCTTCCGCTTCTACCTCCCATAAATAGCTTTGCCTCCGGTATCAACCACCTCTTTTGAAACAAGAAAAATACATTATGTAAATTTTCATTCATTATTCACTACCGATCTAAACTTGAAAGTGAGATCTACTTAACTAAAGTAAAATATAATAATCAGTAATTAAAAAATCGCAGTAACCATTCAAGATCTGAATTATATATACTCTAATGGATTAGTAAAAGACGAACAAACCTTGCCAATCCAATCAAGAATCTGCTCTCTAATCTCAATATCCAACTTCCCATTTCTCAACTTGTCAAGGTAATCAGCACAAGGCATATGTTGATTCTCTTTCTCAATCATCAAATCCATACACTCTTCACTCTGTAATTGCATAACAGCCAAAAAACTATGGTTTTCTTGACTGCTTTGATTATTCTTAACATACCATTTTCCAACATCATCGTTATTGTCATTGCAAAATATGATATTGTTATCTTCAGCACAAAGAAGACTAGAAATTGCAGAATTCATACTGGCTGCCATTGAAATAAATTCCTTATAGATCGTATGCGTATATATATAATTATATGTATATACTATCACCCTCAAAACAAGTATATTTAATGTATGTAAATCGATCTCTAGTTTAATGAGACATTGCAAATAAACAGAAAGATGAATTTCTAGTAGAAATGACAACGAAAAAATGGTAATAAAAGAGGAGAAAATGAAGCAGTGGAGTTCNAATTCATGTCTAAATAGGATTTGTACACAAAATTAATATAGGAATAGGTTTTTCTGTTTCTAGGTAAAATAGGTTTCATACTATTATAAATAAGGATATTAGTAGCTTATTTTATGTGTGAAAAAAGAGTGGAGGAAATAAAGAATTGTAGAGATCTTTCAGAGATTTCAGTGAAGTTCTTTTGGTGATAGAACTGTGAAGAGATATAGCGGCAAGAACAAAGGGTGTCCTTTATATAGGATTTTAGAGAGAGAAATATGGGGTGGGGTTTAAGGGGTGGGTGGGAGGTTTATTTGAATTTTTATTTTATTTTAAATCAGTAATGCAAGAGGAGAAATGGGGTTGGAAATGAAGACAGGGACCAATGTATATCTATAGGTATGAGTACCCAAAATCAATAGCTTTTATTTGGATCGTACATTGCGTTAAAAATTTGCTCAACAAGTATAAATAATTAATTTCCAACAAAGTCAATTAAATGAGTTAGTGGTACAATTCTGAAGTCCTGAATTTACCTCTACATGAAGAAGTAAAAAATATAAAGTTAAAGAGAAAATTGTTTGGACATTTATGTCATATAGCTAAAATAATATTTGTAATAAATTACTACTTAAATAATAGCATAAATATTTACTGTATATATTGAATTATAGTTAATATTTTTTCTCATAAATCTTTAACTTATTTTGTGAGTGAAAGTTATGTCCCAGTAGAAGGAGTAGATGATGCCAACCAACTCGATAAAGATATTTAGATATGAAAAGATAAAGAAAAATGTGTTAAGCTAGTATTTTACGATCAACTCGCTCCTGAAGACTAATTTTCAAATACTCTTTTCTTGCTTCAACTTAAAATAAATTTCTTAGTTTAAATCATATATATTATCTAAATGGTGCCAAAATGAACTTGGATTGGAAATTTAATTGTAGATTTGGAGTTGGAGTTCATAGGTTACCGAGGTTTAACTTTTGTTTTGATATTTGACCATATGAGATTGGGGTTGACTTTGGATCGACTTTAACTTATGCCTATATATCTTTTGATCTCGAAATCAAGTCCTATAACTTTATTTGTCATCGTGAGATATTCTTTTGAAGTCTCACATATTTACCATTTAACCACCATCTCTTCGTTATTTAGGAAAAAAATTCCAAATTATTTTTCTGATTTTTCATTTTACTTTCACGATTCACGGTTTTATGTCTATAAAGATAGAAAAATATATACGTAGAAGGAATTTTTACATTCCTATTCCATATAGGAAATTATATTACCCTCAATGTTTAAGATTTGATTTAATTACATTTAGTATACCTAATTACCAATTCTATACCATAATGTGTTTTAAATGTACAATTAATGTACCGTATATCACTCATTAATTAACGCTACCATATATTCCTCCAAAATATTCCCCCCCCCCCC